CCACGGGGTCACATCAACAATGACACATTGCTTCAGCGGCGGCAGGAGGTTTGTTCTCAGCCTTGAGCGGGTTGAGGAGCCTCATTTTGAAGCTTTCCAGACCCGGTCAGCTGTATTTTAGATACGTCACATGGAAGCAGTGACAGCTCAGATGAAGGCTGAAGTGAGAGCCGAAACTATCAGCTAGGCAAGAGTTTTTGTCTTCGTTTCAAAAAAAAAAAAACATTGATTAAAAAAAAAAAAAGAAACCTTAAACCTATTTCAGACAAAATGAACGTCACAGCACAAACCCTCACCATGTTTTTCCCCAATTTAAAAACATCAGCTACACCGTCAGCGCCTTGAGCAGAAGAGTCTCCAAGTGAAACGAAAGCCTGTACGAGTGTTAATTACTGTAGAAGGTTTTATAATGAAAGATTTCAGTAAATAAGTGCACTGTTGTAATCTTTCTTTCAAATCCAGCACGTATACCTCAAGTGTCAAACTCAAGGCCCGGGGGCCAGATCTGGCCCGCCACATCATTTTATGTGGCCCGCGAAAGCAAATCAAACATGTCCACTTCCATGATGCTTGCTGAAATCTCTCCCAAAATTCTCATATTAAATAAATTAGAGACATATTGTAAGCATTTTCTTGTGACCAAACCCCTCATTACAGAAACTTAAACAATAGTTGAATAAATCGTAATTATATGGTTTCAGTCATAACGGCCCTCCAAGGGAAACGGTAACTAAAATGTGGCCTGCGACAAAAAATAAGTTTGACACCCCTGACATATACTGTTTACATATTTTAAACATGCTGGTACACGCATACACGAAAAAATTCCTTGGGCGAGGGGTGGTGGGGGGGACAAATACTACCTTGTGGTTTTCACTTTTCACGGGGGGTTTCTGGTTCCTATTAACCGCGAAAAATGAGGGATTACTGTACCGCGCTAGGTGATGCAACCTTTTGAGCATCATACTTATAGGGCATGTTCCCATGTTAAGTCATTCTCCTTGACGGCGAAATTCCCCTCAGGGAAATTCTGATGATTTTCCCCGTCATCTGTATTCTATCTGTCAAGCTCTGCGGGTGTCCTCACCTGTCGAGTCTTTTTTGTGGCCCATCTCAAATTGGATCCCTCTGTAAAGCTCCCGGGAGATGAGTCCATAGGCCACGCTCATCACCACCCCGGGAATGGCAAATAGGATAAGCAGCAGCAGCACGTACCTTAAAGGCATAAGGAAAGAATGCAGTGCAATTTTCACACAGACAACAGAGAATTCACAGCTGCGCAGGTTGAAGACTCGACACGCGGGATCCCTCGGAAGTGTTAGGATCCACCGTGCGTCTATAGTGGCGCTCAAGTAATGGAGGGGAGAATTGGGCTTGGGGACGCGAAGTGATCTGAACATGGAATATTTGCGCATTCTTGAAAGCGCATCTAAACCATCTTAATCAAAACGTTATCTGCTGCAAAGTGAAAAACGGACAGTACTTGACGCACTTCAGCGCTTCTAAACACATTTCTTAAGCTTTTATTTACGAACATACTTATCTTTATTCACGAGAATAAATTTCCCCCGCTTTCCTACTTACGCACTTCGTTGAATGACACAGTTGTGGACTGTTGTTTGACTTTCAACTTAGTCACTGTCAGTCAGGGGTCGCCACAGCGAATAACTCGCCTGAAATGTTTGGCACAGTTCCTACGCCAGATGAATCTCCCTGATGCACGTGTGTCAGTTAAAGCAAACATAGTCAAATATTTGTATTTTACTTCCCCACTAGACATGCGACGCATTTTGAAACCTGTCCATATCGTTCAATTTTGACTATTTTTATTGTCATTTACTGAGAAGGCGAAGTGGGATTCGTCATCATGCCACCGCTGCTTACGGCTTTCCTCCCGGGGATTGCCCCCCCCCCCCATTTCCTAGCTTGTTTATGCGCTGTATATTGAGTTTGCAAAAGTTCGCTGCGCCCGCCAAAACCTTTCGAGATATTGGCAACTTGCGCCAGATATGCTTTTCGACTACCACATACTGAGTCAGTTGCTCCTCAAAGAAAAATCTCTCTCGTGCATAAAAACAGATTCCAAGTCGTCGGTATTCTGCACCAGATAACTTGCATTGGAGAGATTTCCCACACCTTTGACCTGATTTTCTGATTTCCCGTTTCAAGGAGTTTGCATCCCACCATGCAAGCACAGTGAAGATAAATTCAAATTTTAGTGCCGAATCATTCACATCCTTATAATTTTATTTACACTCATTGTCCGGTACTTTGCAACAGCACTGCACTAACACCCTTCGTTGTTTGTGCGTCGTGACTAGTTCAGGTCTTCGTGTTCTTACTCGTGGATATTTTTTTGCATGAACAGTAGCACTTTTTATACAAACCGATGGATACGCATAATACCAGTTCACTATTGGACTCACCAGGACTGCTTGGCCACGGCGACGGGCCACTTGTGGCGACACTGGTGGGCGGTGGTGTTGTCGGGGCGTGGAAAGGAGTCCAGGTGACTCACCACCGGGTACGGAATCATGATAATGATGGCCATCAGCCACGTCGCGGCAATTACCCGGTAAGCATGGGAACGAGTCTGCCACACCCGGGACTTCAGGGGGTTACAAATGGCGCTGTAGCGCTCAATCGCTATGGCAACCAGGCTAAAGGTAGAGATGCTCACTGATATACCTGTGGGAACACAAAACCTGATTTTAGAAACGCACAACAGCATCCACGGGCGCTTATCACTACTCTTGAGTTTTGGTCCATTGTAAAAAGTATCAAAAGGCTGCAAGTGATATCCGCAATCGAAGTGGGAACAAAAGCGGAGACGCGGTAGTGTGTTTACAAAAAACATATGCGAAGCGGAGAGGCAGGGATGGGTATCTGTTGGAGAGGAAATCATGTTGGTCTCAGACTCTGATCCCATCTGCCTTTTCCCTCCTGACAAGACCAGACGGGAAATTACTCTTTACCTCTTTTATCCGCGTACGTCAAAATGCAAACTGTGAATGTTTGTTTGGGTGAGGTGAAGTGTGTTGTCAAACCCAACTCTTCCCCCAAGAAAGTCTCTTCCATTGTCAAATACCAGCGGCGCAACTTTTTGTTCCACTTATAAATACCGACCGGCACGGCTCCACAGTCTTGTGAGACGCAATACAAGGATCGTATCAATCACAATACTTGTACCTGCAGTGATGTAATATATTATTTACAACGGGAGAAGTAATCAATTGATTCCCTGCTGAATTTGGAAGGTTCTTCACAAAGAAGTCACATGGAAAATACATCTTCAAAGTTATTCGGCGGCCACTTGGAAATCCCACGCTTCAGCTCTCGACTCCGTGACCTTACTCCAGGTCATACTGATTGTTTTTCCACTTCTCTACACAACAGGTCAAGTCGCTGCCCGATTGCTTAACTCCAAATGTCATCTGACCAAAGAAAGCTTTTTTTCGGAGTCGTTTGGATGTTCGGTTAATTGAGGCCATGTTTACGCTCCGATTTCGCGGACGACAGCACTTCTGTTTGCTTGAAACATCGTGCGCTGTAGGTTTTTGGCCATTGTTTTTTTGTTTTGTTTTTTTAACGGTATTTAAGTCTTGCTAAAATTTCACACCGTCTCCTACGGTATTTGTGACGTGCAGTTAAGGGATGAGGCTGCTGAGTCCTGGCAGCTCCAAGGTGCACAACAGCTCGGCCCAGTCTTTTTTTTTTTTTTTTTTTTTGATGGGGGATGCTCACGTGTTCTGTCAAGGCTTTCTGCAGACGAAGCACACTTTGGATCGCATTTGTGTCCCCTGGCAGAGTCGGATGAAACTGCCAGGCCTGGCTCCAGACTCGGCATCAGCGTGTGGGGCGCACATACTGTTGCTCGATGTTTGTTTGATACACCTAATTCACGAAAATAATTGATTGTAAAGCAAAATATGATACAGCCCATTCTGTCTTTCTATCTGTCTCTCGTCTTTCTCTCCCTCACATTTTTCTCATGTTTAGTCGCGTTTTACTTCAGTTCTATAATCTGCATCATGAAAGCATTTTTTTTCTGGACAGTTGACAGTCTATTCTGTCTCCTTGTGTTGTAAACACAATCTAAGATGGGTCTGTACACGTTTATTCTTGAGTAGGGGGCACTGAAAGATTTCATTCAATATGTCACGTACTATTTTTAATTGCCGTCAGATCCTTTTCAGGCTCCTGCCGTGGTGCTTTGGAGCTGCTGCCTTCTGTTTCTGTTCATCACAACCCACAACTTGATGCAAGGTCTTGCATGGAGCTCCGACAGAGGGTAATGGAGGGTCCGTTTTTGTGTGGCACTTTTTGAATCATGTGGCGGGTGTCATCATTTTTCTCCAGGTTGCTAATCTTGTCCCTTACGTCTTTTGATATAGAGCTCATTCATCTTGCCCGTGGTTGCATCAAGAATGGAAAGGAAGAAATGTATTCCTAGAACAGGTGAGTTGTTGTTTGCATATGTATAATAATAAATTTTGAAATGCAAATCAATAACAACCATATATCGATATTTTTGTTTTCTTAACCATCTTTCCCCCCTGTTCCCTTGACTCATCTCACCCATGAGGTAGGTTACGATCTTGCACATGATAGCGCCAAAGATGAAGTCCTTGAGGATGCTCGGGATGAGGGTGAAGGGCATGCAGAATACGACCAACATCAGGTCGCTGACGGCCAGCGACAGCAGGAAGGTGTTGGTGACGGTCCGCATGCGCTTGTTGACCGTCAAAACCACGATGATCAGCAGGTTTCCGAACACGCTCAGGAAGAAGATGAGGGAGTAGAGCAGGATGATCAGCGTGTGGTCGTCATCTAACGCCGACAAAGACACAAACAAGGTAGGATGTTAGAGTGTGAAGATCTTTTTGTCTTGCTCAACTCAATTGTTGGTTCATCTTTCGATGACGATCATCACAATCGATTCGGTGTCGTTATTAATCCGAGCAGGCCACAAGATGCAGAAGTGTGTGATTACGATACATAGCATACTGAGAACACGTATTTGCTCATTTACATTCTTGGTCTTATTTACGTGTGCCTCTTAGAAAAATATGCTTGGGGGGGGGGCATATGTCGGTGACACTTTGTAACGCAGTTTGTGCAACTCAAAGTACACAATCCTGATTTTTTTTTTTGGGGTGGAGGGGGGGGTCAATTCCATGACTCTCCTGCAGCATTTCTTAAGTGGAAATAAAATAAGTTCAAGCCTTACAGTCGACTCATTCAACAAGGGTATCGTGTTCGTTAAGATCGAGTGGTAATTACGCCCTCATCGATTCATTTTCAGAAACTGATTTGGCCTCTCAAAATTGTTCCTTGTGGGCATTAGCAGGCAAACGCACACATACTGAATAATGGCCACATTTTCTTCTCTGGACCACATGGGATGCAAATAGTATGTGAAATGCACAGATGGCGGCGGGCTGCGGAGCTTGCTTATCAAAAAGCATCAAGGGCCAGGTCAAGCTTTGAGAACATTTTGACTGGCTGCAGCTTCTGTACTTGATTTAAAAAAAATATATACAAGTTGACAGATGATGTCTCACACTCATGATCGACTTATCGTTCGAAAACCAATATGGACATCATAGTTTGAGTGTTTTTTGACATGTGTTAGTTTCAGTCATGCTCCCCCTTTCCCCTCTCCCGTCAGTCAACTAGCTCGACACTGTGGGAGGCGGGGCAAGTCATGTTTTTCAGTTGCCGGCTACGATAGATAGATAGATTGAGTCCATCGTTATATCTCGGCCTACCTATCTTGCGCCGAGATTTGCCACTTACATCTTCACTTGCCGCGTGTAGTATGAAAGCAGTGTGAAAAATAGGCCGGGAGGTGATTGGATGGAAAAGATGTTTCTTTCATAAGGTTCTCTTTCCGCCACGCTGGACAGAATATGCTGCCCAGGCTTCTGCCTAATCGAAGACAATTAGCTTCCCTGTGTGCCGCCTGACTGTTGATAACTCTCTCAGCACATTTACATTAAAAGGTGACTCAGGAAATTCTCAATCGTTCCTTCTGCTCAAATATGATAGAATGAATCCAATTTTTTAATGTGCTCCATTCACTGGCTCATTTTGTTTTCTTAACTGTGCAAGCATAACAACGGACGACAAGCACAAGACTATTTAAGTTATAATGATGTTGGCGTGTAGCCCATGTTTGACTCCAGTTCTTGCTTTAATTTCACTAAATTAGCAAAATGCTGTTTGGTTGAGGCACACAGTGACGGTACTAATTCCAAGTGGAATCTGTTTAGGAGTTCCTGTAATTTTTTTTTTTTGGGGGGGGTCAAATTTGGTGAACATATTAGTACAAATAACAACAAAGAGACAGGATTTTACACAATAAGGCTATTGTTGTGGTCGTAGTTCGCAGCAGTATATAACTGCACTGTCATACCAAGCGCTGATTTGCTTGAGCTGAGTCAGATAAATAAATGTTACAATTATTTCTCTGTAATGCCATTCATTTATTATCTGAGCCGTTTTTCCTCACAAGGGTTGCGGGCATGTCCGAGCCCGTCCCAGCTGGCTTCGGGCTATACCCTGAACTGGTTTCTCCGTAATGTTTATTTTCAAATACATCAGATTGTGCAGGCGTACCTAATAAAGTGTCTGAGTGTTGATTATCACCCAAACCACCTTCTCAGTCTTTGACGTATTGTGGCGACAACCGTTGGGGCAGCACGATGGTCGAGTGCTAAATTGTAATTGGCAGGCAACCAGTCCAGGGTGTACTCCACATACCGCCCAAATTCCCCTGGAATCTGCTCCATCTCACCCGTGACTTTAATAAGAAGTTGCAGTTTCCAATTTATGGATTTACAGTCTGCCATGGAAGCGAGTGGCTTTTCACTGAAATCCAAGTGTCAAACCCTGCATCGAAACTTATTTTTATGATTCAAATCATTTTAATATGTTGTCCTTGATTTTGGGCGATGGACTACCAGTCCAGACTATACCACGCCTCTCGCGCATTCAATCAGTGAGCCGCAATCCTGATTAGGATGTGCGGTAAAGATGATGGATGACTGGTTGTTCATCTGGATCGTTTTGTTCCGTGTTCTTTTGCTCTATTTATGAATGACCCGCCACGAGGAAAAAAAAAAAACATCCAGCGACATCTCCTTTTCCTTTTTTCATCCAAGCTAAGATTAATCGTGGGCAGAGGCTTTTATTAGACACGCAAATAACTTGTGGCTCAGTTCATAATAGAGTTCATTGTCTGCCCATGAATATTTAACATTTAATCAGCTTTTCCCATTCAACAAATCTGACATTTTATGAACGATGAATTATTCTCTCGCCGCCTGTCTGATAAGTATGCAGCACGGCACTTTTTATTCCGGTTGGCTCTTGTGTCACCGTGCCTATGTGAGGGTGGGGGGGGGAAAAAAAAAGAAATCTGCCCTTGCTGCTGTAAGGCTGAGGTATTGGTAAATGTCACCACGAGTGTCTTATCCAGCGCCGCAAATGTCACCTGAGCTGTGTCACAAAGCTCAACGGCAATCCACAACAGTTAATGGAGGATGCTGAAAACCTCTTCCCGACGACAGACTGTTGGAAGTACGGCCCTTCTTGCACTTGCTTCCGATTGAAAACAACATTGAAAGTTGCGCAATCAACACGGCAGATGTAGCATATATTTGCATTTACAAAGATAATCATGCTCAGTTTTTATGCAATTAACCCTTTCAGGAACAGCGGTTGCTACAGTGGACAGCTGACCGCGTTATCAGGTTACAGGGTGCATGAAAGGGTTAACTATGTCATCATTACCTTGCGCGTTTTTTTAATATTTTGGCGACCTTACTCAGTGTCATGAGAGCGTCGTTCACCTTATTAAAAACAGCTCTTGGTGCTCTAAGCTAAAACTTTTTTTTTTTTTTGTTTAACAGTATGAATATTGTTGTATTGCAGCAGCATGAAACTGAGGGATGTTTCTAAGTATGTTCCCCTCTTCGGTAGATGCGCCTCAACTTCTAAGGTTGAACACAATCAGTTCTGTCATTCGGGTGCTTCGTGAGAAGCTGATGGTGGCACAGGAATTGCATGAAATGCTCCGAATTGAAGTGGCTTTTCACTGAAATCCAAGTGTCAAACCCTGCATCGAAACTTATTTTTATGATTCAAATCATTTTAATATGTTGTCCTTGATTTTGGGCGATGGACTACCAGTCCAGACTATACCACGCCTCTCGCGCATTCAATCAGTGAGCCGCAATCCTGATTAGGATGTGCGGTAAAGATGATGGATGACTGGTTGTTCATCTGGATCGTTTTGTTCCGTGTTCTTTTGCTCTATTTATGAATGACCCGCCACGAGGAAAAAAAAAAAACATCCAGCGACATCTCCTTTTCCTTTTTTCATCCAAGCTAAGATTAATCGTGGGCAGAGGCTTTTATTAGACACGCAAATAACTTGTGGCTCAGTTCATAATAGAGTTCATTGTCTGCCCATGAATATTTAACATTTAATCAGCTTTTCCCATTCAACAAATCTGACATTTTATGAACGATGAATTATTCTCTCGCCGCCTGTCTGATAAGTATGCAGCACGGCACTTTTTATTCCGGTTGGCTCTTGTGTCACCGTGCCTATGTGAGGGTGGGGGGGGGAAAAAAAAAGAAATCTGCCCTTGCTGCTGTAAGGCTGAGGTATTGGTAAATGTCACCACGAGTGTCTTATCCAGCGCCGCAAATGTCACCTGAGCTGTGTCACAAAGCTCAACGGCAATCCACAACAGTTAATGGAGGATGCTGAAAACCTCTTCCCGACGACAGACTGTTGGAAGTACGGCCCTTCTTGCACTTGCTTCCGATTGAAAACAACATTGAAAGTTGCGCAATCAACACGGCAGATGTAGCATATATTTGCATTTACAAAGATAATCATGCTCAGTTTTTATGCAATTAACCCTTTCAGGAACAGCGGTTGCTACAGTGGACAGCTGACCGCGTTATCAGGTTACAGGGTGCATGAAAGGGTTAACTATGTCATCATTACCTTGCGCGTTTTTTTAATATTTTGGCGACCTTACTCAGTGTCATGAGAGCGTCGTTCACCTTATTAAAAACAGCTCTTGGTGCTCTAAGCTAAAACTTTTTTTTTTTTTTGTTTAACAGTATGAATATTGTTGTATTGCAGCAGCATGAAACTGAGGGATGTTTCTAAGTATGTTCCCCTCTTCGGTAGATGCGCCTCAACTTCTAAGGTTGAACACAATCAGTTCTGTCATTCGGGTGCTTCGTGAGAAGCTGATGGTGGCACAGGAATTGCATGAAATGCTCCGAATTGAAGCTTTCGAGGTCAGCGGCGTGAAAGTGAGTTCCGCCCCCCCCCCCGCCCCCCCTTTCTCGTCGCCCGAGTAATGCCCTCCTGTTGATGCTTGATGAATTGCAATCAGCCCTCATCCTGGATAGCTCATCAACATTGTCATTGACTCGCTAAAGACCTCCTCACTCGTTTGCACTCCGCAAGACAGCGATCCAGCCAGGCCACTTCATTTGATGTCTGCATGACTGCCGAAGTGTGAAATGATGTTCACTGTGGCAGTTAGTTGGCTGTGTGCCTTCAAAACACCTGCACCCCTCTTTTTGGTTCAAGTTTTGACGCTCAGCTAGCAAAACGTAGGAGCAGTGAAGTCAAGTTCTCATTATGAATTAGGCAATTGGCGTATGTTGTCGCAGGTTTCAACATGACCCTTTAAAGTCCCCGATAAGAAAATTGAAGGACATCTTTTTTTAAATACGCGGCACCTTGTTGGTGATTGGATGTATGCTGCGTATTGACGGGTCTGGAGATAAATGCGCATGTGTCACAATGCTAATCTTGACTGCACCTCGCCTCGGTAAACTCCATAAATGAAGATGATGTGTGTAATGGACAAGGAAGAGAGGTTGGTGGCCGTGAGCCGGTGGGGCATTATTTCAGGTGTGACTGTGAGCCGGTGATGCTCAGAGCAGCTGCGCTGGGTCTGATATCCTCTTGAGTTCTTTTATACAGGCACGATATAGTGTCTGAAGGGAAAACTGGGCTCTTTATTTAATGTCAGACACTCACTGGATACATTTCGATTACCAGGTATACATTCACTATCATGTCAGAGCCACTGAACGTGTCAAAAAAGACTGGGCACCATTTTTTTTGTAATTAATTGCCGACATCATTCAAAAATGTGAGCAAAGTTGATGTTGCATATTCGCTAGCTGGTAGACCCGCCGACATTCCGAGGCCTCGGTAGTTATATCATGCTTGAGCACTGTATGAATCATTTACACCAAGTCAAAAATAATCCGGATTTTAGGTATCAAGTGTGTTTTATTGGTAAAACTGAACTTTTTTTATTGTACAGCAAGTGATCTAGTTCGCCTCTTCCAGTCTTACTGAGACCGAGGCAGTACACCAAGCTGGTCACGCTCATCAAAACAATCCAATCCAAGTGTACTTGTTAAGCACTTCAAAAGTACAGTGCACCAAAATGCTTCAGAGAGCAATTGATGACAAAATAGTTTGCATCAAAGACAAAGGTAGATGAATAAATGAAATCACAAGACAAATGTCAGTCATAAAAGGAGCAATAAAATCAACATGAATAAAAATAAATCGGTCAACATCCGATTGGATGTCAGAGACCAAGAAAAACCGATGAGTTTTTAAGTGCTATTTAAAAAACAGATCATGTGTGCTGAAGTGGGTTGGTCCACAATTTTGGAGCGGAAACTACAAAGGCTCACTGCTCTCGAAGCTTCCGCTTGGTTTTTGGCACAGTCAAGACCAGCTTGACCTGTGAGTGTGTGTCAAGAATATAGTTTCAAATCAAGTAAAGAGATTTTAAAGGGTTCAAATGAATCCTGAAGTGCACTGGGTGCGAGGGATCTCAGGGTAAGATGATGGAAATATACTTGAGTCGACATGTCCAAGTTAAGACGCGCACCAGCTATTTGTCAGCGACTCATGCAAGATGTACTGACAAGCTCACAGAGTCCACACTATTAGTCCAGCCAGGTGCTGATAATGCCATAGACTCCTGTTTCAAAGTGTTGACTTGAAAGAATTGGCTTGACTTTGGCCAGCTGCCTGCAGGGACTTAACTCCTCTCATCTGGCTCTCAAATTTCGGATTCGCATCCAATTTGACAGCAAGGTTTGAGATTGCCATCTTATTCAGAAGAGTGGCCAAGGAATTTAATTCTACCATGGCGTTCTCAGCTACGCCACCCAAAAAAAACAAACAAACAGCTATTGTCATTGTAACTTAAACGGTTTAGAGCCAGCCATGCCTTTTATATGAAGACACCTCAGCTATATAGTGGGATCTGATGAATGATCAAAGTGTAAAAAAAGTAAAGGTGGGCCGAGAAATGAACCTTGAACCCGGAGTTAAGGAATCCGATGTTCTTGAGCATTTTTCACGCAACATCAGACATGAACACGCCTCTGTTCTGACGTCGTTGCTCCCGCAACCTGTCAGACGGGTCAGTACTGCAGCCAAGTCTGAACAAGACCAGATACCATTTGGCCACGATTGTGGACAGTCAGCCCTAAAAATCAGATTTGAGGAGGAATCTAATTGGAACCCGATATGTCCGCAGTCTCAACGCAGCCTATGTATCAAGTGTGCTTGAGCACTTACTCCCAAGTCCACTTCTTCCATTCGTGGTGAGGCTTGGGACGTGTATTGTAGTTAAACACTGTATGCACTCAACAGTCAAAACAATGTGGATTTAAGGTATCAAGTGTATGTGAGTATGCCACAGATTCGCTGTGTACGTGACCAAGTCCACCTCTTCCGGCCGATGCTGAAGCCTGGATATTGTACCAGGGTAGAGCGTGGTACAAATCACTTGCACTATTCAAACCAATCCACTTTCGAGGTATCGATTATGTTTGAGCAAGTTATGAGCAACAATAACAGACTCTTGCTGTCCAGCGTGCGTCGGCGTGATATGAAACAAGAACGACAAATTTTAATTATCAAGTGAACTTTAGCATGGAACCTATCTCAACTGCGCCCACTGTAAATGAGTCGGACAGAAACCTCAATCGAAGAACATCTGTATTCATGAAGAGACAATTATATGCATTCATTTGTGGTTTTCCCCACTTTGACGCCCCCTGCTGGTTATGCTCACATACCCTGAAGATGAAGTGTGTCAGTCAGACTGCTTTCTGATCACCTTTGCAGCCAAAAGGTTCTCCACCTGTTTGTGAGGCAACACAAAATCCTCCGGATTGCTACAACTGCTTGGCATGCCAACACCACACTTAAGTTGATTGCGTATAGCGCTATGCGTTTGAAAGGCAGTCTTTGCAGAATGCATTCCAACTCTTGTCCCCCGTCAAGTGAGATATCCTATAGGGGGTGGGAGCTGAGCTGAAGATGCCAAGTGAGTAAAGAACCAGTGAGACAGGTTTGAGAAAGGCATCGGTCGTTTGAACAGCACGAAGCGTTGATTCGAAAACGTGTTGTCTTTGTCGACACTCCTAATGAAGGTACTTCAATTTGTGCAGTGACTCACACACACACTTCATTAGCAAACAATAAGGGAGGGCCAGTTCGAGTTTGATTAAAAATAGCATGATATGGTTGATAAAGTAGCATTTTGTCTGTTTTCTATATCACAAAACTGCACATATTGTCAAGCAGGGGGTTGGAAATCTATGGCCCTTACAACCGATTTGACCCCCTCCCCAAAAGAAAACGAATAAAACCTTATCAGAATCAATCAGTATATTTTTAGCCCCACTACTACTTTCCTTCACTAGCGTACACCCTAAACTGGTTTCTAGCAGGGCACATATAGAAAAACAAACATTCAATTCTCGTCGAGACGCAATTCAATTTTCAATCAACCAAGTTTTTCGGAATGTGGCAGAAAGCCAGAGAGAATACTGACACAAGCATGGCTAGAACATGCCAACTGGCCCGACTCCAAAAGGAAAACCCATGTCAAGATTTTAACCCAGAACCTCTTGACTGTGAGGCAGAAGTGCCAACCACTAACTCACTGTGCCGCCTTCATTCATCTGACCCTTGCATTATTTTTTTCACACCTTTAGTATTTCCCCGGGGGTACTAAAAAGCTGAAATTGCCCCTGAGAGGAAAACTGTTCCCCACTGCACAAGCGTGACTATGTCACAGTCCAGATGTGAGGTCAGCTGATCAGCTAAATCCCTCTCAACAGCCAGGTTTCATTTTGCACTCTTACGCCTCACGCCACAGCGGCGGCTACATTTAGGGCTTCAAAATACGTAATGGAATTGCTTTCTGCATGATACTGAATTTGGCTATTTGAGATCGTGCAGAGCTACATACAGTTCCTCGGCATCGCACTTGTTTACCTTGGCAGAATTTGTCTTAAAAATAGGATTGTTTTCAATACAAAAGAAAAACTATGCATGAACTGTTTAGATGACTTACACATTTCAATATTCTTGTCAATAAATCTTGTTCAATATGTCAATATCAATTCAAGAAAATTATAAATGAATTCATCAAAATATGTAGGCCTATATATAAAATACATGATGAATTCCGTGCAAAATATTAGAATGGAGCAAATGAAATGCAGCAGTTGCGTCAAGCGACAGATGAGTGTGTTCCTTTCAGAAATTATGCCATCATAATTATTTTCAAGAACATTGTGTTGTACCAGCAAGCAACAATAGTATGAATGCTTGCAATATATGTATCAATATTCTGCCTTTATGGTGGCAACGCTGTTCAAGTTGGAATGAGTCCGTCTGACAAGTCTCCATATTCCTCTCTGTTTATTCATGTGTTTTATGCTTATTAATGTATTTTAGTAAAATGCATCATAGTGATATGTAAAAATTTTTGACGACGACAGTGTAACCAAAAAGTTAGAGGAAGTTCTTACTCTGATTCAGTATGAACACCGAAAATGAATACCTCTCTGACAGCGTCAATCAAAATTCAACCATTATCGTGTATTGGGTCTCCTTCTGTTCTGCAAGTGGTTACATGTGGCCGGTGAACGTTAGTAAGAAATTGAGTTTGAGTGAGTTTAAACGTTAACAGTGGCGATTTAAAATAAAAAGAACCTCGGGTTTCTTTTGAAATCGTGACGTCACAGTGCCACGTACGTTCTCCGTGTTTTTTTTCCCCCCCCCCAACTTCGATTTGTTTTCTCACCCTTTGGCCGCACGCCGCGAGGTGTGAGCGCCGTGGAGATGTTGCCGCAGCTCCGGTTTGAAGCGTCCGCGTTCCCGTCCTGCGCCACAAAAACGCGTGCCGTTGCACACTCCCCGGACGTCTCGTTCGGCGCTAACGAATCCATAATTCTTCACTCAACTCGCATCTACTGGTAAGAAGTTATAAGTGCTCAAATGTCAAAATGTTGCCACGCACACTTGCATCCATAACGTACTTCTTGCCAAGTTCTTGCGTTGGAGGGAGGGGAAAAAAATCACTTTCCTTGCAGCTGCTTGTCTCTGCGTGTCAAAAACGAAGGGAGAACCCTGCACACTGCTACCTTGTCACTTAAGTGAATCTCACGGAGGGTGAGAGACGTGGGGGGGAGGGGGGAGAAAGAGAGAGAGGGAGAGAGAGAGAGAGAGGAAAAAATGCCTCGTCGTTCCCATGTGGTAATTTCAAGACAACCTTCTAGTTGAGAGTCCATATATTTTCTAAAGCTACAGCGCTTCATAAAAGGAAATCTGTTCAAATAATTTATAACTTCTTGTTCTGCGCCTTAATTCACTCCAGATGTGTAGCCTTCATACTGTATGGATTTGACCTGCTATAAACCCCTGTAGTGGAATTACATGCACACTATCGCCACTCTGTGGCCACCATCCGTAACTGCATATCGTTTTGTAAGGTTTGAAAATCGAAATTATTGTTATTGCACGTCACAAGTACAGAGCAACTTATTATTGTATTGCTGATGTTCAATACAGTTTTCATTCTTTGAGTTTTCACCAATGCTTCATATTGCGACCTTTTAATATATAAAATGGAATTTAATGCAAAGACAAAAAAAAAAAAAAGTGAACCAAGATTTACTCTGCATCCAATGAGGACCTGATACCTTAAAATAAGGCCAGTATCAGTCCGATACAATATCTGGTACCGGTACTCACCCATCCCAAATTTTACAGTTTCAACCCCTCTAAGAAACACACGGGCTCAGTGTGGGATCTGGAAAAAACACCTTATCCCATCGTGACATGACCCCACAGATCTCTTTTTTTTCCTTCCACTTGCTTGGAAGGGTTTTTACTTACAGTTCACAATCATGCATATTTATATTTCCCACCACAACTTTCAACATCACAAAAAGGGTTCCAAAAAAATAAAACCCAGATTGTAATCGGAAATGGGTGGCATCTAGTCATGCTCTTCTTCTTTTTGCATCTAATCTAAGCATCGCTGGCAGTTGGGGGTCAATTACACAGCCACTTGCTTCACTCTGTACAGAACAAATGCACATACTGGCCCTGACCTCACTGAGGTTCTGTGCTGCTGTGGCATAACAGCATTAATGTCAGTGTGTTTCCTCCTTTGGCGATGCATGCTCATGCAATCCTATTGACTGATTGAAAACAGATTGCAAAAAGTGCAATCTGTTTTAGACCTTGATTATTGATGGATCGATTCCGCATTTAAATGGGTTCAACAAGAATCTTGTTCTTTTCTAAAGCCTTTGAGCGTTGGTGATTTCAAATGAAAAGTATCACAAAGGTGTACGAAAGTAGAAGACAATGTGTTCCATTACACTGGTTGACTTGACCACCGTATAATAACAATAAAATAAAGTACAATGATTCATATTTTGCAGAGGGAACGGGAAGGTGTCAGCACAGTGATTGCCACCCATTCGTGTTTTATGAATTTTGCTGGAACTGACGATGACTCGCATGATAATTTAGGTGTCATGTATCGATTGTGCACATTCAATATTTGTACTTCTACTTGGTGATAATGATTTGTGTCAGAAATGTCTTGTGTTGTATGTTGCAGTGTGTTCCGTTTCCTGTTCTCCAGACAAAGAACACATTTCGTTCCCTCTCAGAGGCCCGTTTGAATATTTATAAAATTGTAAATATCTGACCAAACGTGTTTCTTATTTATTTTAAGAATTTGTGGTTTAAATGTTTCGGGCTATTTTTCTTTTGATGTTATTTCTTTTTAAAATGTCTCGACAGCCAGGTACATACAACTTCATGGACGGTCACGTCTGTGCCACACATTTGGGTGGTCAACGTGTTGTGATATTATTTCTAAACAGGGGACCATCTGCTTGTACCTGGAAATATGTTTTTTTTGTTGTTTTTTTAATGACAGGAAAAATTAGAGGGGAGGGGATGGCTCAATATGCCTCAACTCTAATCATTTTTTTTTCTCCTGTGCTTAATTGGCTGTCTCAGCTAGGTCATGTGTCGAGCCACTTAGCCCCGATAAACAAGTCATGGGAGGATGCCAATCTGGATGAGGAGCGAGACTAGTGTTTCCCTGTCGCGGCTGGTAATCATGAAATGCGCTGATTACTGCTGATTAAGACACGTTGGAGATAAATCAGTTCTAGTGTGGCATTTAGCAAGTGGCATGTGTGCAATTATTTGTTGGGAACACGACTGCTACAGTCAGCGTCACGGAAAAGCATCCATCTTTTGGCCGGTGAATTTCAAGACCGCTCTAATGGAGGGTGCACACATCAGTGCTAGGCAGAGCTCAAGAGGATTTCGGGTCCCTTAGCACCAACCTGCACACTTCTCTGGTGCTCGCTAGTGGAGTGTCAAGCAGAGACTCATACAGTAAGAGATGGACTTGAGTCTTTTTTTTTTTTTTTTTAATTCGCACTATGACAAGTATAAGCCATTCTGTGTTGTAACACAAGTGGAGCGTGAACATGGTGTGATACAGACAGCAGCAAGGAGGCTAAAAGTGTTGATCTTTCCATCAGCAGCTACGCGTGCTTGCCAAATGTACAATCACCACACTTCCCTGAAGAAGGTGTGTGTTGTTGCCGAACATTCCCGGTCGGTGATGACGTTCATTCGGGGCATTTATGCTTTATAAAATAAATACATAAACGTGTAGGGTTTTTTTTTTTTACTTTTTTTTTTTTACATGTACCGAGTATGCACTACAGTATATGATACCAAATGGGGGCCACATTTCTTTTTGATGTAATATATCCCCAGAAGAAAACTCCACCAGCAGCAACTAAAAAAAAAAAAAAACTACAGTAATTTCATGTGACTTTGACATTCCAGACCCATGTCTTTTTTGTGTAGTCCATTTTGTACAATAATTTCTTGTTATCAACTTTGCTACATAAATTATTTTTTTAAGAAGCAAAAGACACTACATCTTGTGCTTTTGAATGTGATCCTATGCAGCAGTCTGTCATCATTTGTAAGGCTGGATCCCCCAGGGAATTAAGTTTATTTGGAAACGTATTTATATGTCTCCTGTAATTCTCTTATGTGACACTGAAGGGTGCAGTTGCTTCCTTGCATACAAGCAAATACAGTCCATACGCTTTCCCCCTTTGTTTCAGTAACGGACTGCGATGATTAAATTAAAAGGAACGACACGCAGTCGCTGGAAACACTCCTTTTTGAGATGATTGGAGATTTTTTTTCAGCATTCAGAATATTAATGTATTTTAGTATGATTTAGGTGAACGAATCAAGTATTACAAAATCAGTACAACGATGCAGCCAATTGCACAGCATTCACAAACGAAGATAAAGCAAGCAAATAGAATTCAGTCCTGTGCTGGTCACGTTTGATTGACGATAATCAAAGTAATTTAACACTACAGCGTTGACTTAACCAATTTCTCGAAATTGGAATATCTTATAAGCAAATTGCCCGCTTTTTTTTTCAATTTTGTTTAGGAGATAAAGTGCAAAGGTGACTGGGATAATGTTTTAAGGTCGAAACGCAAAAATACAAGTAAATGTGAGACAGCTAAGTTAGATGAGTTAGAATGATCAAAACGTGTAAAGTTCGATGTTCACGTCATATAAATACAGGGTACTCGGTTTGACGATTATGCAGGCGCGCATGTGGAGGAGGGAGGTCGTAAAACTGCTATTTAAAAAATATATCTTTTTACTCGCGAGGACATGACAAACTAAATAAATCATGACGTAAACTTCCGGAATTCAACCTTCTACGAGGTGTCCACGCACCTCAACGCGTCATCTCAATAGCTCCTTCCTAAATTAAAGATTTAATTATTCTTCTTATTACTTTGAAACGGAACATTAATAACAATGTCCGATATCGACTCTGACGAGTTTGACGAGGAGCGCAATAAACTCGGGGTGAGAACCTAGACGATATTCGTAACTCGACTGTTTTTGTTATTGTAAGGTAACCTAGGTGACGCCACTGAAATGGCACGCATGCTAGCTGACGCCGGCGGTTTCATGATTTAGTTGCATTTTTCTATTTGTTCCAGGAATACGAAGGGGACCGAAATGAGGCTGGAGAACGACATGGGATGGGTAAAGCTGTTCTGCCGAAAGGAGACGTTTATCAAGGACGATATGAACGTGGGAAAAGACATGGCAAGGTATGATTAGCAATTATCAAATGATGTCGTCAATCTGTCATGAAAACTGGAAAGAGTCGTTTGCGTGTTGAAAGTCTAATTCATATTTCTCAAACATGGGCTGCATTGTGCATCATTGGTTGCATGGCCACGTCACAGTCACCAGGTTCCTGATTTGAGTATCAGGCCTGTGTGCACGTTTCCTTGGTTAAGCCAAGATGCTAAATTCTCCATTGATGTGAATGAATGTATGTCTATGTGCACTGCAATTTTCTGGCAACAAGTCGAGGTTGGAATGCACCTCTTGCCCAATGTACGCTGGGATAGACTCCTGATCATCCTAATGAGGATGTTTTAGCCCTTTTAGGCCAACGTGCCAAATTTGGTAATCTCAATTTAAGTCAAAATTACATATGTCAAGATAAGGTACGAGTACCATGTGATTTTTCCAACCAGTCAATACAAATAACAAAAATTAAATTGTTCTTGTTTATGTGTCCTGCTATTGTCTGGCGACAGCTGGGATGAGATCCAGCTCACCCACAAGTCACAACCCTAATGACGACATAGGAAATAAGTGGATTTTGCAAACATGTGACCTCTGTGTTTGGATGATGAATATCAAATCGAACCATCAACGACAATGAATGCTACCATCACTTCGAAAACTTCAAGTAGCATTCAGAATTGCTGTCCGCGTGTGTGCTGCTGATAGGGCACATACCGCTTTGTGAACGGAGCTAGATATGTGGGAGACTACCTCCAGAACATGAAACACGGACAAGGCATCTTCTACTACCCAGATGGATCCAAATATGAAGGTATGTCAACACTTACAGCACGTGCGTATGTGACTGGGGATTGTAATTATTAACAAATCGTTCACTGCTTATCTCGCAGGCTCGTGGGCCGAGGACTTGAGACAGGGCCATGGTGTTTACACATACTCCAATGGGGACACGTACGTTGGAGAGTGGCTAAATCACATGAGGTACTTCTTCAAGAAGCGGTGGGACGCGAGCGTCCGTAAAGATAAAGTATTCTACTCGTGGCAACAGCGGTTTTGTCTTTGGCACGTGAACATGTCAACAAATGCAAGGCCCCCCATTTCCACTGCATCAACAACTTCCCAGAGAATGTCAACAGCGGTAGCAAATGCTAATCCGTGCATTCAACAAAACTCAGGACAGCTCTGCTTTCCTGAAAAATCAAATTGGCTGAGGTCACATGTCGAGCTTGGTGTTCCTTTTTCATGTGGGAAAATTTTTCTGACACGTTTTTGATCAAGGCACGGCGAGGGCACCTATCGTTACCATGACACCGGCTCGGTGTACACTGGGATGTGGGCGAATGGCAAGATTGAGTCTGTCGGAGAGTTCATCCACGCCAACCACAGATACAGCAGTAACTTTGTCAACAATAATGTGAGTTCTGGTTCTAGTCAATTCTTTTAGGTGTAGTTACAAATTGAAATGACGTTCAATACTGAACCTTAGCATCAGGAGATTGTCATACTCACTTTTGCGTGTCTATAAAATACCTTGACTTGGTGCGCGGTCACCACAAAAGACATCTTCTTGGTCATGGGTCAAATTGTCGATAATAATCAAGTTTCCTGTTGTTGTTTTTGTTTTGTAGCCATCTGGTCCAGGAAAGTATGTGTTTGACATTGGCTGTGAACAGCATGGTGAATATCACCAAATAGAGCAGGTAATAGCATGAAGAAAAAAAAAAAAAACAACACATTTACTCATTTCATCTGTGTTGTGGCCGAACACCAGCAAGTGCATCAACAGCTTCTGTTTCCCTCCCAAAAAACAAAACAAAAAAAAAAAAAAAGTATACTCACTCTCCCTCCACAGGACAGGGCCGAAGGCGAGTGGGGTGAGCCGGGCTCCAGTACGCTTCTCAAGTGGTTTCCAAAATGCATCACGGGCCTTACGTCGCAGGAAGCTGACGGCGAGGGCGAGGGTGAAGGCGAGGGCGTGGCCGTGGGTGAGGGCGAGGCTCCACCCGAGGTTTCACTCGAGGCTCCAGCCGAAGCGTAACCAGCGACCGACCTTACAATACGCGAGACGGTAGAAATTGAAAGAACATACCTGATATGAACAGTACAGCGCGCACCGTTGAAATCCTTCTCGGCCGTGGCGAAAATACGGCCTTTAGCTTTGGGTCAAACATTTGTACCTATGTTACATTTCGACAGAAATGTCAATTTTTTTTTTTTTTTTGTGTGTCATCATACAATATAAAGTTATTTTTCAGGCCTTAGATGAGTTTGCGTCACCTTTGTCCCATCCCAACTAGCTGAGGTATCATAATTACATAATTATAGCTGTAGGACACTCCCACAGTTACCGTAGCGCCCATAAATCCACCTGAAGGACAACACGCACTGCTCCTTCACTGTCAACTTTGCACTTATCCTAGAAACGAAAGTCCCCGTTTTCTTCAGCAGGTCCTAGATTGTTCTTCTTGACACAAGATGGGTACTGACAAAAAACGTTTTCGACGTAAGACTAAAGTAGCCATACATTAACCCATTTAATCCCACCGGTCACATTTGTGATGGACAACAATGATTTAATTTACAGGGCTCTAACATTTTTTTATTACTGATTACTTAAAAGGGGCTACCTGATTTTGACTTTTAAATGTCTGGGGAAAAAATTGGGATTAAATGGGTTAATACAAACATGAGCACAATGAAGATAATAAGTAACGAGTCACGTTTTGTAAAATAATAAATGTGAATTCGTTTGACTGGGCTGCACAGTGATTGACTGCTTCGCGCGTCGGCCTCACAGTGCAGAGGTTGCAGGGTTCGATTTCCGGCTGCGGCCTTCCTGTGTGGAGTTTGCATGTCCTCCCCATGCCTGCGTGGATTTTCTCCGGGTACTTCAGTTTCCTCCCACATTCCAAAAACCTGCATGGCAGGTTAACACTCCAAAATTGTCCCTAGGTGTGGGTGTGAGCACGGATGATTGTTCGTCTATGTGTGCCCTGCGATTGGCTGACGACCAGTTCAGGGTGCACCCCGTCTATTGCCCAAAGACAGCTAGGATAGGTTTCAGCACGCCCGTGACCGTTGTGAGGATAAGCGGATCGGAAAATGGACGGATAGTCTGACTGTTGACTGATTGTGAATGGTCATTGTCAAATGGAAAGCGTGCATCTCCTCATTCTGAATTTCTTCTAGTCTAAAAAAAAAAAAAACAACCACAAGTATTTATCGACAACAAAAATAATTATCCTGTGGTTAAGAAATTTTGGACGTATGGTTGATGGAGACGAGACAAACACAAATGTTATCATTTTAAAAGTTTCATTTTGTTGTATGCTTGGTTCACCTTGGGATGTGCCCCCACTGATGAGAATGTCCTTGAGTAAAGTTACAGTGTTCTCAGTTCGTGGAGAAATAACAAAGTACCTATTGTTTGTGCAGGGAGTTGTCTTGGTCTAAAAATGTCTACTGAGGGCCGTTATCGGAGGGCCGGCCTAAAAGCACGGCATGCAAAGGAGAATGTTTGTTTGATATGTTACTTGAAATTTTCATATGTTCCCAATAAATGTTCGGCATGGAGCACAGAAAGTTGAGTTTCAGTTGGAGAAGCGAACACAAGAGTGGCTTCATCGATAACTGAGCTCCCCGCCGACAGCAAAGACCATCTCTTCCTTAGTCTGTTTGTTAAACTTGTTTGAGGCATCTCTCTGACAATGGTCAGCGAATTGATTTGCTAAGAATTATGTCGACTGTGCAGAAGTGATGATGATCCCATTTTAGAAAAACTGCAACCAGCGTCACAAACCCAAAGATAATCTTGATGGCGACAGCCTTCTCTCCCAAGAGCGCATGACATAAGTCTGTGAAGGCACTCCTACCTTGCACTTTTGAATCACTCAACCTTTAGGTTCACCTTCGGCCCATCAATGTTCCCTTGGAGGGCATGGGTAGGAGGAGAAAGAGGAGGGGGGGAGCGTGCGTGAAGAATAACTCGGAAGCCGTGACAGGTGAGCGCTTGCTTCTAGGACGGTGACCGAAGAAAGACGTGAACTGGTAAGTGAGGTTTTATTTTTTGCCCATTTCTTGTGTATAATGACTCAAAATGCTCAATCATTTAAAATGAGGTGATTTTTGTGTGCGGGGGTGTGCTTTCAAAGTTTGTTGAAAACGCATGCTGGTACAAAATTTGCAAAGTTATTTTTTTTTTTAATCTAAAATGTGGAGCTGGATTAACTCCCTTATTGTGTCGTTAATGTCCACTAAAAAGCACGTCTCTCCAAATGTTGGGATTGTTGATTTCTGAACCGTATTTCATATGTAAAAAAAAAAATATATATATATATATATATATATATATATTACATATGAAATATGTACAGTGTATTCTTTTTCATTTAAATTGGTCATTTGACCATATTCCACTCTGATATTGAAAGAAAATCTTAAAAGCATTTCTCTAGTTTCAGGGTGTTTCTTTTCATGTGTTCGCTGTTCGAGATTGACCAGTGATCATTTTGTCAGCTGGCACGTGCACGCCAACGAGCGACTAATGAACATCTGATTTGTAAGGTGGATGACGGTGGCAAAATAGTTCAAAGTGCAGCTTGTCTTTTCAACCTGAGTCATCACCGAGCAAAGTGATTAACCATTAACTGCCACCTTGAAGCTCGCACGGAAGATTAGCTTCTTTTTTTTTATCTTCTAAGACTTGTTTGGGCTCAGGTCCTGTGACATGAAACTGTGATGGTCACATGACTGAGACATTTAAACCTTCTGGAATGTCATTTTATGTGTGTGACAGGACATGGCCGGGTACAAGCCAAAGGTGATATCTCTAACCAAGAGCCCAGGTCAAACATTCGGCTTCTATTTGAGGATAGAGCACGATGAGGAGGGCCACCTGATCCGCTGCCTTGAGATGGGAGGCCCGGCCGAGCTGTCCGGCATGAAAGACGGAGACCGAGTCCTCCGAGTGAACGGCAAATATGTCGATGGGCTTTCCCATTCTGAGGTAAGTGACCTGGTGCTGTCGTACCCAATTTTAGAAAGCCTTGTTCACTTGTCCGCCTTTGCTCTGCGCGGCCAGGTGGTGGAGTTGGTGAGAAGCAGCGGCGCGACAGTCAACTTTCACATACTGGACGAAGCTTCCTACAAGCAGGCCAAGGAGCGGGGAGTAAACCTGGCTGAGCCTCACCACTCGCCGGCAGTCAACGGTGGCGCCCAGCGCGGCCTGAAACCAAGACTCTGCTACCTGGTCAAGTCCGGCTCAGGCTATGGCTTCTCTCTGCGTTCGGTCAAAGGTGACATCATAAAAATCGCCACCCACTCCATGACTTGCCTCATCATCAAACTGAAATAATAATGCTGATACAGTAGAGATACCAAAACTATTTTACAAATGTTGGAAATGACATCTGTTGCATGTTCTCCCACTGCTTATGCGGGTTTTCTCTGGGTACGTGCAATGTGTGACATTTTTCTTGATCAGGCGATTAGCGTGGGTCTTAAACACAGGTGGCCAAAAGATGCCTAATTCAAATCAAACAAATAAACTAATCACCATACGGTGCACAAATGGAAATGAACCCGGCTTGCTTTTAATTCCGTGACGTGACGATACTGTCACAATTTTAATATCGCGATATTGCCATTACGGTTGCATCCGAAATGACTGCACACGTCTTTATCATCTCTCTTATACCATATCCAGGTGAGCAGGGCGTGTTCGTATCGGAGGTGACTCCGGGAGGCGTGGCGGACCGAGCCGGCGTCAACACCAACGACCGCCTGGTGGAAGTGAACGGCGAGAATATCGAGAGCTACACCCATGAACAAGTGGTGGACAAGGTCAAGATGGCGGGCGGGAGCCTCATGTTCCTGCTGGTGGACGAGGAGACCGACCGCTACTACTGCAGCATGAACATGAAGATCCCCGCTCAGTTCGCCACCACCAAGTGCCTCCCTCACGAGCCGCGCATCGTCAACTTGACCAAAGCGCCGGGCGGCTACGGCTTCCTGCTCAAGGAGGAGGCCAAGATGGGAGGTAGGTGCATTGCGTTCTCCCGTCGCCGTGGAAACCAGTGAGCATTGACCGCGAGCTCTTCGGTGTGTGCAGGACACATGATCACGGATATAGACAGAGGCAGTCCAGCGGAGAGGGGGGGTCTCAAGGACTTGGACAGGCTGGTGGCTGTGGACGGCCAGCAAATGGACACAAGCACTCACGAGCAAGTGGTGGACGCCATCAGGCAGAGCGGCAACAAGTGCTGCTTGCTCGTGGTGGACAAGGACACCGACCTTATGTATGCTCAGGTAAGATCCACCTCTGCCATAATATTAGGCACACCGGCACAGGCGAATGGGACGGTTGTCACTGCCTTTATTTGACAATAATTATAATTTTTTTTTTTTTTTTTATATGTAGTTGACAATAATTATACCGGGTACATATTTTTTTCATATGTAGTTTTACGTCTTTTTTTTTAATTTATGAGTACAGGGGGTTAATTTAAAATATGTGAGTTTTTATCACTGTAGTAATACATTTTAGTTTTTATTTTCATTTGAAGGTATGCCATTTTGACGAATTTGATTAAAAATTAATTACAAAATACATTTTCAAAATTTGATCTTATTTTTAATTAAATAGAATGCTAATTACATTAAAAGTATTCTGGTGCTAAAGGGGGGGGGTTGACCAATACATGGGGGGGGACTGTGAAAAAAATTTTGGGGCTGCCGAGGTTTGTTTGGGTTGAAGGACCCCCCCCCCTCCCCCTCAAGCCAGAGTGTAGCACCCTCCTTGCATATTAAGCATCTTATTTTTAATATCTTCACAATTTATTTTAAAACAAAACCTCATCAAATTTGGATTGTATTTTAAAACCTTTGTACATATTTAATTTATGCTTTTACTTGTCTGTTTAAAAAAAATATATATATATATATTTATTTATATATCTCATCATCCATTCTTCCATTCCGATTACGTATACTGTTCAAAGTTCGGGATTTTATTGTTAAATTGTACATCTTAGGCCTTGGTGGAGTATTGTGCTCTACTCAGCGTCACTCTCGTTTCTGTAAGCGGAGACGTTTTGATCTCGTGTGTGTCTGTGTGCACCCAGGCTAAAGTGTCGCCCATGCTGTTCTGGGAGGAGAAGAAGGACGCTCTCTCTCCGCCTAGTTACTCTGAAGCTATCACCTTCCCCGCGCCGTTTAAACCACCCACGGCTGCTCAGGAGAGAAAGAAAAATGAAGAAATAGAGCTGAAACCTAAGTTGTGTAAGATGGAGAAGACTCCTGCTGGATACGGTTTTCATCTCAACGGCATCCAGGGTGTGTTTGGACAGCATATTAAAGAGGTAAGACAATTCAAAGAAAACAAACCAAGTTTTTCTTTGGATGACATCATTGGCGGACATACAGGTGGTGAAGGGCGGGGCCGCCGACGTGGCCGGCCTGGTGGATGACGACATTGTGGTGGAGGTGAACGGGAAGAACGTGGAGCAGTGCACGCATGAGGAGGTGGTGGACATGATCCGAGGCACGGGGAGCAGGCTGGAGATGCTGGTGGCCACCAAGAGCGTCTACGACCAGCTCAAGGCTCGAGGGACGCCCGTCACGCGTCAGCTGCTCGGCGAGACGTCGCAAGTGCAAGTCCACAGTGAGGATCAGGAGACCGCACCGGTTAAAGAGAGGGTGAGCAGCTTTTTGTTATTCCGTTTTCGAAATGTGCGCCATCATGAAGATGAAGGCGAAGGTGCCTTGACGGAACATCGCTCATGCTTTCGATCAATATTAGCATAGCGACGCATTTAAATCAACATCGAAATATCTAAGCGGGTTTCTTTTCTTGCAGACCTCATCGGTGTCTTCATCTTCATCTTGTCAGAGTATGGATGACAGACTTTGAGAAGCAACAGCATGCTAAATGTTCTTATTTCCAAACAATCCTCATCAATGGCCGAAAAAAAAGAAATTGGATCCTTACCGGTACAAAAATTTGTCACACGTTTACATTAAACTATCTTGTAAAGGACCGATGGAAGACAGGGGCTGCTAAATCTTGGTGACTTAAAGGCGTACTACAGTTTGACCTGCGGTTTACCAGATCCCAGTCCTTCTCTCCTGGCCTGCCCCGTTTTATTGCCGCCCCTCATACAAGTCTCGTTCTAGGTCTCATTCTATTAATTTTGGGCTTTCTACTAAACATGGAACCTGGGTAGCTTAGACGTGTTTGTACCTCAGATGTGTTACTCTACTTTTGTTCCGTTTATGGGCGTGGGAAAAAAAAAAGGTTGTCCAAATGTTGAAAATTGAGTCTAAGAAAACAATTGTCCTCCTCCCAAATGATGCTGCTTTTATTGAATGCTTTAGAATTAAATGGTGAAATAAAAAGTCATGAACAAATTTATGCTTTTACTTGTCTGTTTAAAAAAAATATATATATATATATTTATTTATATATCTCATCATCCATTCTTCCATTCCGATTACGTATACTGTTCAAAGTTCGGGATTTTATTGTTAAATTGTACATCTTAGGCCTTGGTGGAGTATTGTGCTCTACTCAGCGTCACTCTCGTTTCTGTAAGCGGAGACGTTTTGATCTCGTGTGTGTCTGTGTGCACCCAGGCTAAAGTGTCGCCCATGCTGTTCTGGGAGGAGAAGAAGGACGCTCTCTCTCCGCCTAGTTACTCTGAAGCTATCACCTTCCCCGCGCCGTTTAAACCACCCACGGCTGCTCAGGAGAGAAAGAAAAATGAAGAAATAGAGCTGAAACCTAAGTTGTGTAAGATGGAGAAGACTCCTGCTGGATACGGTTTTCATCTCAACGGCATCCAGGGTGTGTTTGGACAGCATATTAAAGAGGTAAGACAATTCAAAGAAAACAAACCAAGTTTTTCTTTGGATGACATCATTGGCGGACATACAGGTGGTGAAGGGCGGGGCCGCCGACGTGGCCGGCCTGGTGGATGACGACATTGTGGTGGAGGTGAACGGGAAGAACGTGGAGCAGTGCACGCATGAGGAGGTGGTGGACATGATCCGAGGCACGGGGAGCAGGCTGGAGATGCTGGTGGCCACCAAGAGCGTCTACGACCAGCTCAAGGCTCGAGGGACGCCCGTCACGCGTCAGCTGCTCGGCGAGACGTCGCAAGTGCAAGTCCACAGTGAGGATCAGGAGACCGCACCGGTTAAAGAGAGGGTGAGCAGCTTTTTGTTATTCCGTTTTCGAAATGTGCGCCATCATGAAGATGAAGGCGAAGGTGCCTTGACGGAACATCGCTCATGCTTTCGATCAATATTAGCATAGCGACGCATTTAAATCAACATCGAAATATCTAAGCGGGTTTCTTTTCTTGCAGACCTCATCGGTGTCTTCATCTTCATCTTGTCAGAGTATGGATGACAGACTTTGAGAAGCAACAGCATGCTAAATGTTCTTATTTCCAAACAATCCTCATCAATGGCCGAAAAAAAAGAAATTGGATCCTTACCGGTACAAAAATTTGTCACACGTTTACATTAAACTATCTTGTAAAGGACCGATGGAAGACAGGGGCTGCTAAATCTTGGTGACTTAAAGGCGTACTACAGTTTGACCTGCGGTTTACCAGATCCCAGTCCTTCTCTCCTGGCCTGCCCCGTTTTATTGCCGCCCCTCATACAAGTCTCGTTCTAGGTCTCATTCTATTAATTTTGGGCTTTCTACTAAACATGGAACCTGGGTAGCTTAGACGTGTTTGTACCTCAGATGTGTTACTCTACTTTTGTTCCGTTTATGGGCGTGGGAAAAAAAAAAAGGTTGTCCAAATGTTGAAAATTGAGTCTAAGAAAACAATTGTCCTCCTCCCAAATGATGCTGCTTTTATTGAATGCTTTAGAATTAAATGGTGAAATAAAAAGTCATGAACAAGTGACATTAAAAAATGCAGCAGCAACTCCAGTGTTAAGACTGAAAGAAAAAAAAGATCATTAAAAAGTATTATACAAAACAAATACATTTTAGCAAAGAACAAATAAGAATCCTTTTATTCCGCACTTTGTAATTAAGGGTCCGCTTTTCAAATTCCTGATTCAGGAACACGGGGTTTGGAACCATTCCAATGATCCAAAAGAACATGTTGGTGGGGTGGGGTGGGTCACAGTGTCATGTGCTTCTCGGGTGCTTGCTTGTGGGCCAGGTAGAGGAAGAGGATGCTGGACAGGGCGCTGACCAGGAAGATGACGTCGAACCAGCGGTGGTAGAAGTTAAACTGCAGCTCTCCCAGAACCTCTGTGACGATGGAGCGGTACTCCAGCGGCATGCTCATGCGCATCAGCAACACGGATGACACAAAGTACATGCCCTGACACACACACACACACACACACGCACATTATGAGATCCCTGCTCCACTCTTAAAGATGAGGCGAATCAAAGAAACTCACCATGATCTGAGCAAGGACAAGCACGATGACGTTGGAAGATTTGCTGCTTGATATAGCGTAGAAGAACTACAATGAAGAGAAAGAGTGGCCGTTTTACTTGTTTTGCCAAAGTCCGCCAGGGCCCATACGCATTCCTTTTTCCAACCCACTCCATGATTTCCAACGTGCCTCCCTGTGGACTTTGTACCTTTGTGAGGGTGATGAGTAAACCTCGTATGGAGGTAACGATGATGATGCCAACCAGGATGAAGGAGATGTGCTGGGACCAAAACTTCACCTGAGAGTATAACATAACCACGTTTTGTTTTAATAACTACAAATGCGTTTTCAAAGAGGATGAGAGGATTTTCAGTACGCAGGTCTGCCAATTGAGTATTCTGATAAAAACGCGCTAACTGCGAGGTCTCTGTAGATCCTTAAATGTCTTCTTTTTTTTTCCACCTTTCAACTTGATCCTTACAAATGCAGAGAAGAGAAACAGTTTTATTTCCAAAACTTCCTAAATTATTTTAAATTAGTCTGTCACTATCTAGATATTTTTACTACTTCCCGCTCCCGGTGTTCATATTTCCAACTATCTTAAATTTGCCTTAAGCCTGCAGTTATCCTTTTAATCTGAACATGTTCCAAAATAAAATGTGTTCGACACACAAAAGCCATGTGTTGTCCATTTTGTCATTAAAAAAAAAAAAAATCGACATATAATTCAATGAATCAAAGGGTAATTCTGTTCATTTACAATGTGTTCTATTTATCTAAATTCAAATGTAAAGTGTTTAACTTTGTGTGTACAGTAAGCAAGCACTACATGGACAAAGCTATTTAGACACACCCCTTAATGAATTATTGTAATGAATTCAAATGAATGTAGAAAGCCTTACTAGACAAACACAAGCATCACATTTTCTTCCATTTTCACTTCACTGTCATGAATGAAAGAACTTTCTTTTTTTTTTTTTTTTTTTTTTTTTTTTATGTCAAGAGTGATACTTGAGGTCTTACGTCAAACTGGATGCCCAAGTAATTGACTGTTATTTCAATGCCCCTGGTCACCGGATCCGTCTTTCCCACCCGATCAAACACAATGTTGATGGTGGCCTACGATGGATGGACAACCGTGTTTCAACCACATTTAACACAATTCAAAATATATTACAAATCAGCGTGCGCGTGCTCACCATAAAGATTTTCCACACGCAATAGATGGAAAAGAAGTAGCCAAGGAAGTTGAAGTATTTGCCCTGAAATGTCTTGGAGTACTCAATGCGCTCCTGTAAAAGATGGCAATGATGCGATTCAGTGAAGAACTCGGATAATTCAATTTTTTCTTTTAAATGAAGCAAACTCTGCCTCAAAGCTTTACAGTGATCATTTTTCTACATTAAATAATCTTGTTAATCGGCACTTTCATACATGGGCGAGTACACCCAGTCAGACTGGCTAACCGTTAGCCAGTTAACAGGCAGCTGCTAACAAGAGCTCACAATAGCCAATTATGTGGCACACCCACGCAAAAAAAAAAAAAAGTCACAGATTTTACCGTGCGGAAAGTAAGGATGCCAAACCCAAGTGGACAGAATTAATACCTTCACTCCGTTTTGTTGTTCTAACATGTGAATGAAATATGTTCAACAATTTATCTGTGTGTGTGTGTCATACTTTGGTGGCTTGCAGGTCTACAGTCTCGAGAAAAAGCTGTCGACTAAGCTCCTCCAGAGCGTCCACCTCCTGCTGGATGAGCGACAGGTCTGCGCGGAACAACAGGAGACGTGTAAGCGAGCGCAATTTATTGCTGCCATCGAGTTGTTAAATCTTTCAAAGAGAGGCTACTTTCGCTTCCCGTTTGCGGTGAGGTGACGCTCTTGATCATGCCCCACAATCCCGTCTGCTTGTTCTGGTCTTCTCCGCGCTGGTACATTTGCCGTCGCGTCATGGCGATGCTGCACATCACGTTCGTTCATTCCATTTATTTTCCTCATCATTTGTTGTCAACTTTTTAAAAACATACAAGAGTTCTCAGGAGGCCTTACCGTTTTTTCTTACTGACGATCATGTCCATAGTTTGAAGTAGACGCCTCTCCAAAGCGAGGATGTCACTGTCTGTCACGTTCCTGTGAGTTGCAGCAAATAATGCTCATAACAATGTTTTTTTTTTCCCCCTCAAGGATACAAATTGAAATAAACAATATACTTTAAAAGAGGAAAGAGGGTAGTCCGCAACTTTTTCTCACTAGGGGGCTGGTTCATGGTAGGACAGATAATTCACAGACCAGCAACCATTCGTCGATGGGGCATGATGCTGGCGGTCGTAAACTAATCGCACATCGGGCGGGGTTGAGAACATACAATCCCAATTGGAAAGTATGAGCTCCGCTACATTTAAAAAAAAAAAAAAAAGAAGTTATATCCATATCAAATGGCATACTGGGCCACGTACTGGTGTTTGGGGACCACTGCTCTAACTAATTAGAAAAATAAATAAATATCTAATCATATGAATTAATTGACTACAAGTTTAAAATAACTTTCTGTGCAATAAGTGGAGAATAAAATATATATATATTTTTTTTAATAGATTAAATAATATGCATTGCAAAGGAATACCTAACCAATTTCAGACATGCACTAATTTAAAAACAGAACAGAAAGTAAAGAGTAAAAACATACATTATTAAATAATGGTAGGCCTGTAATAACTATTAATTAAAATCTACATGATAAATTCATACACGCACACAGTTCAATTTAAATAATGTCACTTATCTACTGCTAGACCAGACAGAATGCCTGTACTGCTTGGACCTACCTGAGGAAATAGGACATATACGTGTAGGGACAGTTGACTGCACCAAAGCCAGACAAGAGAGCCATGAGGGTGACTCCTATCACACCAACACGACTGATGAGCTGCTCAATGGATAGAATGCCTAAAGGACATATAACATAATTACATATGTACTGTGTTTGTCGGGTAGTGCGATGGCATGGCTGACTCACCGTGTTTTGGACTGAGGATGGGAAAAGGGTCGCCCAGCTTCCAGAAGAAATACATGAAGGTGAACCACACCATGCACGCAAACAGCAATCTCTGTCTGTGCACTGTAACGCAAAACAACTTTTTTTTTTTTTATGTCGCGTACAGTGTGTGCACCACATCAAACAAACCGCTTAGGCGTGTGCACTTACACAGGCGGATGTTGCTAACCACAAAGTAGCCAATGTAGAAAGGCACCACAAAGATGAGGACCAGCAGAATCACGTAGAGATTCAGCTTCCAGTGAAAGTATCTGGAACTTTAAGGGCAGACTCAATGTCACTTTAAACCTATCAAGATGTCATTTGAAAAATATGAACAAAAGGTTCATTGAGGACTCCAAATTGGCACGAATGTCAGTTTGAATAGTTGTCTACTCTATACAGCATGTGCCTAATAATTGGCTATCGATCAATCATGTGTGTACCACGCCACATGCTTCAAAGTTAGCCGGGATGGACAGCAGCTCACCCATCACTCTCGTAAGGCAAGCGCTACAGAAAAATGACGGATATAAAAGAAAAACAGTGTCCTTACCTACTACTTAAGGCACCCAAAATCTCAAAAATGATGAGCTCAAACATGGTGCATGAAAAAGCAAAGGTGACAGAGAAGACCACCTGCACCACATACCGACGCACCTGCCAACGCACGCAAACAAAATTTACTCGTAACACACAGCAAAATAGCGATGTACAGAATGTAAATAAGACTTTTTAATGTACCTCGTAGTCTTTGAAAAGCTGTCGCATGAAGAATAGCCAACCAAACCCGAAGAACAACACCTTAAAATGGATCGCAAAGAACACAAAATATGGCATAAAAAAAATGTTCTTCCTTAAATGTTAATGTAATAGAACACATGAAATGGGAAATATTTAAATACTGAAATGGACAGTTTAATGGACGAGACGTGAACGTTTTATTCGATTGAATTTTTACTCTGTCAATCAAAATACAATACTATTGTCATTTGAGGGTACCTGAGACGTGAACATGATCACGGAATCCACCAAAAACGACATCGCGTTAGGGGTGTATTAAACGGCCGTTAATCCACCAAATAATCGATGTGCCTCTGAAAGAGGAAGGGAGAAGCCTTTCAGATCATGCCGACACAAAAACCAACCACTACCCTTGAACAATAAACATTTATTTTACTCATAATGGACGAGATATTATGAGTGCGACAAGTTACAAGGGTCGTCTATAAATGCGACATCGTGACAGCTCTCCGGAGAACTTCCGTCGCCGTTATATGACGTAACCGTGACATTTTCAACGGATTTTTTTTTTTATACCCTCACAATTTTTATGTGTAATTGGTGTGTACAGCAGACATTATTGAGAATATATTTTCGAATATAGGTTGAAGTAAAATACCGTGTAAAGTTATTGTCGCAGCACCATCCTTTAGCGTCCGATGTGTGTATAGGGCAGCCATAATGGAGCGGTACGACTCGTGTTAATTCGTGAATGTCCATCCAAGTATTGTACTTTAAAGCACCAGAAGGACGATTTGCTTTTGTAAAAAGGTCTAGCTGCAACCCTGTCATTAAATTGTGATTGTTTTTATGATATTTATTATTGAAATAATGAAGAAAAAAAATGTAAAAATAGTTTTTTGAAATTCAAAAAATTGATTCAAATTAAATCAGCAATAAGCAACAATCAATCAGCAATTCATATATGTATTTAGATTGTTTCACTTTATTCTTTTTTCAAGGATTTGTTAAAAATAAGAATATCATAATCACCGAAGTGCAGTTTCTTACCAACATTTCAAAAACATCCATGTTAGTTCCTTAAATTGTCCATATGTGTGAAGTTGAATGTGAGAGTGATTTTGTCTGTATTTGCTCTGTGATTGGCTTCATTCAGGGACCAATCTCTTATGTGCACCTAAAGTCAGCTAATGAAGACAAGCACCATTGGACACGGCTGAACAGTAAGACTTTGATTCATTGATGCAAACAGTCATTTCCTCTTTTCTGGAGAAAGTATGCCATAACCGTTGTACTTGTGTGCTTAATGTTATTAGGGCAGGAAAAAGGGGTGCTAACATCATCATGACAATGTTGCATCACTGGACCAAAGACCTACTTTCCTCTAATGCATCACACTAAATGACAGGGAATGATGTCATCTTTGCAGCTACCAATGACAAAATCCAGACACTTGGAGTGCCACATTCTCACTGCTGGTTCAAATTGTTTGACAACGTGAGAAAGTCAAAATGCCTAAAAAGAAAGGAAAGAAGAAGGGCAAAGGCACAGGGGATGACCCCAGTCTGCGCCCACAGATCATGAGGGACAAGCTGAAGAAGGAGGATGCCTACGCGGTGTCGAATGCCATAACGCTGAAGGATACCTATCGCCTCAGCCTGCGCAGCAACCGCTGTGATCAGCTCAAAGAGGAGATAGCGGCCCTCCGGCGTACTTTTGAGCGGCGGGATCAGGACCTGAACCGCGCCGTGGAGAGGTTCGCGTGCTGTGTGCAGGAGGGAGAGCGTCTCTCGGCTCAGGTGTGGCGCGTGCACCGTGAACACGTTGAACGACTGCGTGCCATGCAAGAGAAGCGGCTGAAGTTCCTGGAGGAGCAGTGGGACATGGGTCAGGACACTTTAGACCACAGGCTGGAGGTACTGAGCGAAAGAATGGCGACCTACTTCCTGCAGTCACGCGTGGGTTTTGAGGACACGGTGGTCCACCTGGAGCGTCACCACCAGCAGGCCTTGGCAACCATCCACATGCTGTACAGCGAGCCCATGGAAGCCCACGGGGTCTTTGAGAAGAGGAAGGCCTTCGAGGTGGAAGAGTGCTTCTTAGACCAGAACGTGAAGGTCCTCAAGAACCAGAAGGCAGAGAAGCGCTACCTCCACGAGATGGAGAATGTGGAGCGCATGGAAGCCAAAAAACAAGTCTCAGTGATCACTTCTAAGAAGGGCGTGGCGCTCTACAACACCATCATCGAGGTGCAGTCCCGGCTGGAGGCCACCGAGAAAAGCAACTCCGACATGACGGCCAAGCTGACGGCAGCCCGGAACGACGCCAAGGCCAAGATCCACATGCTCCTCAGCCGGATGGCTCGGGACCGCGTCCCCATCCAGATAATGATCAATGAGGTCAGCATGCATAGCAACGCCGCCGCCAACAGCCTGAGGTTGATCATAGCCAAGGGCGCCCGGCTCCTGAAGGTGGCCGAGATGTGTCGCCATTTGGAGGCTCAGCAGAAGGAGGAGCAGGTGGCCGCCGAAGAAGTCATGCAGGGATCAGAGACCGTGGAGCCGTCGCCAATGTATGAGTTCCCTGAACTGATGAAGCGCTACAACGCCGCGCAGCTCCACCAGGATGCCCTTAAGCGGCGCAACAGAAACTTGCGGCGGGAGAACCAGCAGCTACAGCTCCTTACGCGCCAACGCGTTGAAGCCAAGACCATTAACCCAGACACCCACAACGGACCATACAATCCCCTTCTTCTCAAGATGGCCCCCGTAATGGAGAAGGACGGCGCCAAGCAAGTGCGATGTGTCATCGAGGGAGTGCACGCCATCAGAATACTCTCCATCAATGAGTGAAGATGTTCATGAGGGATGTCAACACAAGGATCCACACTTGCGTTCAACCTCCCCTCGATTGCAAGGCTTACATTCAAGACTTCACTCCCAATAAATACCCTAGTTAATTACTCAAAAAGGGGGGGGCGAGAGAGAGAGAGAGAGAGAGAGAGATGTTGTTTTTGTTTTATTTTGGGGGGGTGTTTATATTTTTTTTCCCATCCCAAGTCTTAATGTCTTTTATTTTGCACAAGATGTCTTCCAGAGCGACCAAAGATGACAGCAGCTGGTGTTTAGACTTACTTTCTCTTTACATATGTCGTATTATATTTGTAGAAAGAAATTATATTGATACAATATGATATTGATGCACGTTAATAAATTACAGCTTCAAACCATCATGTCATTTGTTACACTCGTTATTGTGGCTTACCCACGTAAGCCTTCCCACGTGATTAAATACTGTAGATGTATGGGCTGCACTTGATTATACGTAGATCAGTGGTTTTCAAACTTTTTTGAGCCAAGGCACACTTCTTTCATTGGAAAAATCCCGCGGCACACCACTTGCTGAAAATGTGAAAAAAAAAACGTTTATTTGAATAATGTGATATAATGATACTATAACCGTTTTAGCATTGAAGAATGACATTATAACAGCTTGAATTGGAATCAAATGAACACCAAGAAAAAAGTATTTTCTCATCTTTCATATTTATTGTTTCACCGTCGTCCTGCATTCGTGCGTCACAAATTCGCGTGTCTCTCGTCGAAACACAAGGCAATTGGCTAGCTGTTGCTGCTCCCTAGCGGTATAGGAGGGTACTACATGATTACTTTCTGGGCGAAAGACCGCACAGGTATACAAATTGGATATTTTCCCACGGCACACCTGACAATGTCTATATTTGAGTGACGTTTGCAACATAATTTAATATGCCACTCGGAGGACTTTAGAAAAACTGAAATCACCCCCGCCCCGCCCCCTCCCACGACGTGCAACAACAAAGCCTCTCACCACAAGAGGGCGCCGTGAGTCCAATCCAAGGCTACCAAGTGGTTCCCCCCCCCCTCCCACGCCTCCCCTCTGCGTGGGTCCACTTCTTTGCAATCCGGAGCTTCACTCTGCTGCTGAACATTTGGGCTCACAATTGGAAACACTCGCACCGAGGCAAAAGCCTCTTTGTTGTCCTTTGTGGGATATTCGGAAGTCACTGTTAACAAGTGACATGTTGCTGAGGTAGAGCATCCTCAAGCATCGTTTGGACACAAGGAGAGGTCAGTGTCTTGTTTTATACTTACTCCCGACAAGTTCATTGTAAGTATTGTTTGATTGCGTATAGCTCTGTAGAGACCTATGAGAGGCTTTTGCTACCAAACGATTGTGATACTGAAATATTAGAAGCATTTCATTCTCGGCAATATGGTTTGTTGCAATGGAAGTTTGTCTGCTAGTGATACAGTGACAAATGTATTTAGACCACCACCTAATGAAAGTTTTATGCCACAGCCACTCTCAATGAACAGCATTTCTAATTACCAAACTCTGTGTTTGACGTTTCAATAATATCTAATGGACCTGTAAGAGATTTTTAATGGTAACATTTTATGGCGCATAAAAACTAAACAAATAAAATAGTGAAGTTGTAAAAGGGTAGTTTGCTGCATACCTAGGCGGCACGGCAAGTGGTTGTAGCACATCTGGGATTTAAATCTGGGCCCAGGCCCTTGTGTTGCATGCCAGTTCGGTTGTTTGAAGATTCTAAAAAAATATTTGAAGACTTTCAATTGCCCATGCGAGTGCGAATGGTTTGTCTGGTGATGAGTCCAGTATGTACCACGCCCCCCCCCCCCAATTCAGTTCTGAGTGGCTGCAGCACACATGACTCGAATAAGGAACCACATGGAGGCAAGTGGATGGCTAGATGTTCCATTTTTTTTCAGTATCCATACTTTCTGTGACATTTTAGATTGGTGTCGTGTCATGAGATGCATAAATGATATTTCTAATGTAAAGACGGCGCCTTGGCTCTTTGAAGGTTGGGAAACACCGCCTGAAATCATCACTGCTGTGGGCAGAGATGGCGTATGGCACAATGACCAGTTTGAATTCTACAGCAGTTTTTTTTCTTCATCAGATCTTCATCTTCCCTGTTAAATGAGCAAAGATGATGATGATGATGATGATGATCCGGGCCTCCTGTAGAAAAGGTCTACATGTGTGTTTGCTCCTTCTGCTGGTGGCAAAACTGCAGGGTAAATATTTCATGATGTTAAACTCACATTACATGGGTGGATTAAAAAATGGATGGATGGATGGATGGATATACCACAAACGATCACAAAACACAAATATGATTTCAAACTCATCTTAAATCATCCTGAGAAATAAATGGCTTGCATGTGATTTGATTTTGGAAAAAAAGAGTTGCCCATGCACGTACTGTCATACTACATGTAGTTCTATATGTAGTATTGCATGTTTATGTAGTACTACACATGCAGCAAACAGCAAAGACTCTCCATTACAGCCCAGGCTAAACTTGGCTCCTCCTTGACATACAAAGCTTGTCGAGCTGTATCACTTCAACAGCCCCCCCCTTGGACCAGCTGGACTTCAAAGGATTTGCCTTGCTTTGTCTTGTGGCATTTTAGGTATTTTATTGTGAATAAAGGAGAAAATCATTTTTTAAAAAAACTAAACGAATCAGAATAGCCGATTTTGTGAATAGCGATTCACGAACATGCTTTTTACTGTATTCGGATTCATTCAATAAAACTATTTAGGATGCCACTTCTTCCCTCATTTTTCTTAAAACAAAAAAAAAACAATTTCAATTTTTTTGCGTCATTTGTGGTCATTTGTTGAGATGGTGAATTTTGGGTTTTGGTTTGCTGCCAACTAAAATCATCAGAACATTTCATTTACAACTCAATTTTACTTTTTTGAATGGAACAACTTACATCAAGTTTTCTCACAATATTCTCATTTATTGATATGTACATGTAAATGATATCATATGTGTCCAAGGTAAGGTCACAGCCCCGGAGCGAGTGCAGGCCGGCGTGGGCAAGCCGTTCACTTTGACGTGCGCCTTCTCTAAGGACAGAGGCGATGCTGTGCGGCAGGTGACATGGCTGGACGTGAACAACCAGACGCTACTCAGCTACCAACCGGGCAATAAGGACAGTGTGAGCGGGCAGCAGCACGTGGAGCTCACCCCCTCCTCGAAGGACACCTCGTCCGTCACCATCCAGAGAGTCAGCTTCAGGGACGAAGGATGCTACACGTGCATCTTTGACACTGTTCAAGCTCATGCAAAACAAGGACGCACCTGCCTGACCGTCACTGGTGAGTAAGGCCCGCATTGTGTCACTTTACTACTATTGTAATTCTCTTTTCAGTGCAGCGATAAAGCTTGCAAAAGCCCATCCATCTTAACTTTGGGCTGGGTAATAACATGGTTTCTTCCAAAAGTAAATGTCCTTCTGTTTTTTTGTCTTTTTTTTTTTTTTTTTTTTTTTTTTGCATATGCGTGTTGGATTGTGTTTGTTGTTCAAATCAAAAGAGACAGTCGTTAAACGTCCGACGCTTTAGGCTAGCAATTAAGTGCACTCTCGCAGCGTAAGTCATGAACACATGCAGGAAGCCTCGCTTTGAGGTCCGAATGAGTTGCGAGCGTGGTGACAGGAGAGGATTTTCTCCACGGGAGAAGTTCGGATACTCAATTTTCAAAGCTGTTTTCGCTCGACACTTCTCATATCATGTCTGCTGCAAGACCTCATGGGTAGTGAAAGCACATTCCTTTGAGGAGGAAAAAGCTTCACATTGGCCCAAGAAAAATCTGACTGACTAAAATGCGTTACTCGTCCCGTTCTTCATTTTATGTTCAGATAGACATCAAAACTCATTTGACTCAAAAGTAAACAGTGACAAAGTCACACTGCTACTATGCTGCCTTTGAATAAGAAGATTACGGGGAGGTGTGGTTGCCATGACAACTGCGATTTCACTATTAACAGTCGACACGGGCCTTAATGTTGGTGGAGCATCCATGAGACTTCTCATACCATATTTTCAATGGATTTTTTTTCCCATGGAAATAGAAATAATCCATTTCAAGGTCTGTTCATGAAGGATGAGCCTTTTGTTAATTGTACAGGAAATGTTTAAAGTTTTTAACATCACTCATTGTGGCAATGTAAAAACAATAAAAGATTCAGCACGGATATTTTGCATCGTAAATAATGGGGGGAACTTTATTAGGTGTTGAAAATGTTTAAAATAGAATTCAAGTGTCAAAAGAAGTTAGGAAAATCAATTAAAAATCAAATCAAATTTGTGCTCCATTAGGGCTCCAGACTGTCCCTAAATGGCTGCGTATGACTCCCAAAATTTGAGATTGCACAATTTTCTTTTTTTTTTTTTTGGTGCTCATTCAGCCAGTAAATTTGATGATTCTTCCTCTTTCAGCATGACACCCATGCCGTTTGTTGATTTTTTTTTTCAATAGTCAATAAAAGCTCCAGAGCTCTCCACAGTCAAATGAAGGAGAACAGCAATCCAAAGATTGTTTACAAATTTGATATGAAACAGAAATCCGCCCGTCAGAGATGCCAGATGTTTATTGAGGTTGAGCATTATAGAAAACGATGGACTTGTCCATTAAGAGTCATTTGTAGTCATATAATACGCATATCATATGACACGTATGTCCGAGCTCAGTGGGGCTTCCAGATGAGAATGTTCTTCATTCCGCGCGCCGGACAAGCATGATGAGGCCCAGCCAGGTATTTTCATAAAAGAGAGAACGGGGCTCACCACGCTAAGCAGAAACAGCTGTGGTTTGTTTGCTTTCTGTTTTGGACACATATTTTCAAAATATTTGGATTGTAACCGCTCAGGGGAGAGGAGGTCCTAAGAGCACGGGTGCCGACGGTATACACGTCAAAATAATTCAAAGATCGGGGGAATAAATAACTCGTCAGGTTACAGGAGTGCAAAGGGTCAGGGCGGTGGCAAAATAACAAAAGCAGGATAGCAGCATGCAAACGTGATAAAATCTGTGTTGTGCAATTGATATTTCACAGCTGGCGAAGCGCTTTGTTCCCTGACCCGGGTCAACTTCCAAGGTGTTTCAAAACCATTTTTTCCATTGGAAACCATTTATTTGCTTGTATATGATTTAAAACTATTGTGTCATACAACTAAAATAAAGTAAAGTTACTCGCCATTTGAAGGTGCTGGACAGACACATAATGGAGAGGGCAAAAAGTTTGCACTGCGATACTGCCACCTCATGGAGTTTTATGGGAACTGATGAATCAAGCGTCACATTGTTTTGATGTATTTATTTTGTGTCAGATTGGTCACGTTGTCTTGTATTTCTCATATTGGACTGAGCAGCCAGTCCTTTTCCTAATTCGTAGGAAGTTTGGTATTCTAGGGTTTCTCTCGCTCACACGCACGCACGCACGCACGCTTTGAGCTGAAGTTCACTGATTCCCTCCTGTTTTGTATTTAGTGTTCCCCCCCCCCCCCCTTCCACATGTGTTCCCCTTGCAGCATCGGTGATAGCGGACAGCAACAAGACAGCAGTGAGTGGGAAAAAGGCATCCCTGTCGTGCTCTTACGGCCTGCCCGAGAAGGTGCAGCAGGTCAGCTGGCGGTACGCCTCGGCGCCGGGGGGGCTCTCCTCGGACGTGGCCTCCTACGCCAAGAGGAGCGACCCCATGATCGAGCCCGCGTACCAGGGCAGGGTGTGGCTGAGCGCTTCCCTGTCGGACAGCACACTCACCATCCAACCTGTTGCCATCCAGGACGAGGGCTGCTACACCTGTCTGTACAACACTCATGCGGACGGGCCGAAGAGCTCCACTGTGTGCCTCTCCACGTATGGTGAGCATGTTGCTAAGTCAAGGTTTCACTTTTTTTTTGAACTAAGGTGAATATTTCACATTGAAAAACCCCAAGATACACTGGCCATGTCCCTTATGTCTAGTTGAAGACCATTTCATTGTTTTTCCTTTCACTATACATTGCCGGCATAGATTAAAAAAAACAAAAAAAAAACACAAATGCAAACATTCGTGTAGCAGCTATGCTAATGTTAGCATTTGAAATGTTCATTTTGTCGTTGTCACATGTTACAACAGCATCTTTCACAAATCCTGTATCGAAAATAACACACACACAAACCTCATGTTGTAAGCTAACATCGGAACGTGTTAAATGTCATTAAAGCCTTTCACAAAGAGTTCACGCGAAAAAAAAAAATGAAGAACATGCTAAACTAGCGTATGCATCTGTGTTTATTTTTGTGTTTCCAGACTGTGTTTCCTCAAATGTGACAATTGCCTCTCTAACTTTGCACAGGTCTCACACACAAGAATAATTTGAATGCTAAGCTAAAATGTCCATCCATCCATTTTCTAATCTGTTTATCCTCATGAGGGTCGCGGGGCGTCATGGGGCCTATCCCAGCCGTCTTCGGGCAGTAGGCGGGGTACACCCTGAACTGGTTGCCAGCCAATCGTAGGGCACATATCGACGAACAACCATTTCGCGCTCACTCTCACACCTCGGCACAATTTAGAGTGTCATGCATGTTTTTGGAATGTGGGAGGGAACAGGAGTACCCGGAGAAAACCCACGCAGGCACACAGTAAGGCCGCAGGAAACGGTTAGAGTTGCCCAAAATAAACACATGCTCATGTTACCATGGTTTCCATTGGAACATTTGTATCCAATCTGTGCTTGTGTGTGTGAGAGGGGGGAAAAAAACCCCAACAAAAGCTAGCTCCCCTCAGACTTCGCAGGAGCATGTCTGGGATTTGAAGCAGGAATGTTGATCTTGTCTTCCTGCCTCATTTTGCAAGGAATCGGAGCTCTGCGAGACTAAATGGTGTGAATTGCTCCTGATGCATGACTGTTGTCAGTGTTTGTCAGCACACAGTGGCCAGCCTGTGTGCTTTGTCTCTGCTTGGCTCTTTGGTTCCCACTCCGTCGCTCTCGACTTCCATAAACACACGTGCTTTTGTTCGAAACACTACAGTACAATACAGTAGGTGTTTCTATTTATCGAGAACTATTAGCATTTGGATTGTTCTCCTCCATGACAACCTCCCTCCCTTCAAATGCTGCTGTACTGGAGAGCATGTGAGACCTCATTCGATGCATGCTGCCCGTTAACAGTGGCGAATGCAACATATCTTATTAATGGCAACACTTGCTTTTGTGTCGTTATCGGCCCTGATAATGTATCTTGAAATGTGGATACATTTTCATAATTCATACTACTACTAATAATAATACGGATACGGAACTTTACGCGCGCGCGCACACACACACACACACACACACACACACACACACACACACACACACACACACACACACACACACACACACATGGTAGCTACTGATCAGAACATTATAAAAGCTGAGGTGAACTTTTCAGTAAAATCTTGGCCAGCCTCTAAAAGTACAATATCCAAATAACTCTGGCCAAATAACGTGTTGCTGCCAATACAAATGTTCCAGTCGACCATTCCTCCTCAGAACAGCAAATTGAAACCAGATAGAGATTCTCGTATGGATTTTCTGGAATTCATAAATCTAAATGTGCTCTGTTCAATCTCTATCACGTTAATACATTTAAAATAAATGCCCAAAAAATATCCAAATTATTATTAAATTATTGGGAAACATTTCTGCTTGAATTGTACTTTTTTTTAGTTGGATACACCTTGGGCGGCGCAGTCGTCGACTGGTTAGCACGTCCGCCTCACAGTGCACAGGGTTCAATGTATAAACTTAAAAGCAGTTTCAGGTAGTTTTCATTTTGTTCATAAAATGGCGGGGGCGGGGGATTCAATTTCGGTCGTAGTTACTGTGTCAGTTTTCGTGAACTGTAACAACCCTGCTGTCCATCTATCCATCCATCCATCCTTCTCCTTATGTTTGTACCAGCGCTGCCCAAACCTCAGGTGAGCTACAAGAGCACGTCGGCCGGCGTGATCGAGGCCAACTGCAGCGCCGTGTCGCGGCCCCCCGTGGAGATGGTGTGGAACGTGGAGCAGGACAACCGCACCGTGGGCCCGCCCGTCACGACGCTGCTGCCGCAGGACGACGGCACCACGCTGGTGATCAGCACGCTGACCGTGCGCTCCGGCCTGCTCAAAGACGTGTCGGTCAAGTGTCTGGTGCACCACAAGGGCCTGGAGGCCCCCATCGCCGTGTCCATGAACACCAAAAGTCAGTCTGAAATCGTATCCTGCTTAAAAAAAATGTCATTTTAGTCGTATTTAACCACTCGTCGTCTCACTCGAGGGATTTGTGTACGTGAACAGACAGGCCTATGTTTGTGTTGTGCATGTGAATGGATGGCCATTTTGAAATATTTAGACTTTAACTTATGAAACACGGTAAAACCGCTCAATCTATCAAACAATTACACATTTGTTTATATTATGCTATTTTGAAAAAGTGCTTCGTCAAGGCTGTCATTTAAAAGGCAAAAATAGTTTAGGATTTTTGTGGGGGGGAATTATCTTTGTTCTCCTCAGACTCTGTTCCTGTTTTAGTTTAGTTTTTTTTTTTTTTTGTCTTGGCATTTCAAGAAAAGTCTATTAGTCGTAAAAGTGGTAATCGTCATTACTCCTTGTAGCCCCACTTTTTTGTCTGTGCCCTCACTTTTTCGACAGCTAGACTTCGAACACTTTTGCCCACTTTTTTTTCAATACATCAATGTCAAAACTCATTTTAATCGCTGTAAAGTCCCTTGAAGAACACTTTTTAAAAAAAGAAAAAAAAAAAGAATCCCAAATCAACAGGAATATTATACAGGGGGCTAAATAAGAAACAAAAATGTTTCACATGTTTATACATTTACCAGTACGTAGGCAGTACTAAAGGGTCGTGGGGCAAAAAAAAGTCATTATAGCACATTTCATACGCAACGTAACTCAATATGCATTACCTACTGCAATTAAAGTACATTTAAAACAAACAACAACAACATTTTCAAAAGCATGATTTTAAAACGACCTTGAAAGCCCTTAATGATAGGTAAAAAAAAAAGAGCATCGTTTTTAACCTGGGATTAACCCTTTCAGAGAGAGCGATTACTACAGTGAACAATTTATCATGTTATCAGGTTACGGAGTGCATGAAATAGTTAAAAGCATTCACATTTCATTGGTCTGTTTTGAATATTGATTCATATTAGTCACCTTAATAATAAAGAGTACCAGCAAATGACATAAAATGGTTTTCAACCCAATTTCTTGACAAGTGGAAATATGAATCCTCTGCAGTTCTTGCTATCCGTAGAGCAGAGCAAGCCAGCCGTTGATTTCACAGGCTAAAACGTGTGTCATGTCCTCATAGTTGGGACGGCCCTGGCCATCCTCATCTCGGTGACCACGGTGGCAGCTCTCCTCGTGCTGGCCCTCTGCTTCTGTCTCTGGAAGTGCTTCCTGCGCAAAGAAGGTGTGTGAGCCGGTCCATTCGTTTCTTTTGCCGCCGTACACCCCCAAAAAATGCAAACGACGATGTCGTTCATCAAAGGTCTGATTTTAACGGGTTTCATTGGAAACGTGGTTTTCAGTTCAAACCTGTTATATGACTCGGTGACATCACACCAGGACAACTACTTTACCATTCTTTTCATCTGCCATTAACTCTTGTTTGTACTTGTTGCAGCCGACTGATGACTTCAGCGCCGCATCACAGCATTTCTATCATCGCGGCATCGAGGGCCGACATTCACACCTCCGGAGGATGTCAATCACTCTCCTCGACAACCCTACCACATTCGTCTTTCCGTGTATGCCTGATTCCTGTTTAAACATTCAAAAGGAAATCTTTTTGCTCACTTGCATACACGCTATTGTATTTTATTTAAACACAGAATGAATAGTTAACACAAAGTGTTTAGAATTATTATTAAGAAGTATTGTATGATGAATTAGCAATAAAACATGTATTTATTATTGTTCGGGCTCTTTTTTTTGTGTGTGTGAATGAAGCCTTAAGAGTGATCTATTTCAGAAAGTCTCATTCAAGGAGCCTAAGAAAGCAATTCAAATGTATACATTAAAAAATGATGATGCAAAGCCTAGAATAATAAAAAGATGTTGAAATATATTTATAAATATCCATCTAGCCTCTCAGACATATTTGTTTTGTTTTTTTAGTCCAATATGGCTCTTTCAATATTTCGGGTTGCCTACCCCTGGGTTAGGGTGATGGCTTGGGGTTTGCTTGGTACACCTCCAGCTGTAATGAGTCTTTCAGTCTGTGACCACTTCCCACCCTAGCAGACGGGCAGCGCAAACTTCACATTCAACATGTGAGCTCATGTACATTGTTGACGCTTTCTCTTCCTCAGTTCTAACACTGGAGTTGGGTGAACTGATGGAAGACATTATCTCTCTGTCTGTGCAATGTCCATATGATGCCCATGTGTGTGCATTTGCATGCTCTGTCCTCACGAATCCATTGTCCTCAGAGAAATCTAACACGAACGAATGGGGACAACGTGTGTTGTAATTGTTTCATGTTGTGTGTGCCTGCCACGACAACACAGAGCGCTTAAATTGTTTCATTTTCATACTGGCGAAACGACATTTGAAGCAGGTCTGTGGTTCACAACACCGCCCTCTGGTGGATGGTGGCGAGCTAGCCGGCGAGCTAGCCAGCGAGCTAGCCGGCGAGCTAGCCCGCCAGCTATCCACCATCCACCAGAGGTTCGCAACACCGCCCTCTGGTGGATGGTGGATAGTTAGCCGGCGAGCTAGCCGGCGAGCTCGGTGACTAGATCGACAGCAGTAGTGATGGGATTTTCGGCTCTTTTCGGTGGTCCGGTTCATTTGGATCGGCTCAGTGAAAAGAGCCGGCTCTTTTTGGCTCTCAAACGGCTCTTTTAACTTTAGCTTTTCTTTTAAATATTTATGACAAATTTAGCATACTGTAATGCCCTTCAATGCGGAAAGAAGGATGCACGCAGTCGCTGATGCAATCTGTCGTTTTTTAATAAACAAAAGAGCAATAACACACACATTCATAGGAGTTGTTGTTAGCCACAACTCACGCCCATGCGCTCCACACTCAGACTAACTGCCGGAGCAAACATTCCCCCAACCTGGCTCCTCCCCTCTCTATGACGTCACACAAATACAAGAAACAGATATTACAATACATTTTGATAAATTACTTGGTGAACTAAATATTGCACGCTACTGACTGCAAATAGCAACAATTATCAAGCAAAGAAATGGCTTTTTACTTATTTTATTGAACATTAAAAAGGCTCCAAACAATAAACAAGCAACGAAATTAAACTTCAACCAACAACAATCAAACGTGCTGCATCATAATAAAAATAGTGAGTCTTAACTGCAACAGCAGCAGTCAACAAAACAAACATAAGGTACTCCTTGCTTTATTTTAACAAATACTGTATAAGCTACTCCTTGCTTTATTTTAAATTTGCAGTCAACAAAACTAAATACTTCAACTTGGAATACTTCAATTTGTCCAGTCTTTGAGAACACACTCTCTAACCGGACACATGTTGCTACAATGCACAATCTACTCTCCATTACTTTGATCAAACGGGGGTAGACGGAAGCTCGGTATTTCCACCAGCTCAGTGGATCAGCTGCCCTTGAAATCTGTAGTTCTTCAAGATATGCCCTAATTTAGTGTTTTGTGTTTTTGCACGCTTGGCTACTACTGTAAATTAGATTCAGATTGCTTGCCAAACGCCTTTGTGGCTTCCCGGACAGTAGGGGGCGATATGAACTAAAGACATCCAATTCACCAAGAAGAAGAAGAAGTACAAGCACAAGCACGGTACCACATCCGGTTCCGGTTCAATGAGCAAGTCTTTCTGCTGTCCACAATCCCTGTTCTCAGTGAGTAATTTTAACATTTTAAACTGACTTCGCAGTTTATCTCTGAGTGCATAGATGTAGACAATTGGGGAGCGTTATTACGACATGTTGCTCCTTTAATTTTGTTGTTGTGACTCAACGTAAAAAACAACGTCAGCAAAGGGGGCAGTGTGCGAGCACGCCGCCGACAAGTAGACCTCAGCTGTCAATCAAAAAGCAATCACAAACAGCGTTTGACTTGAATGCTATTCTGTATGTTTTCCACACCAAAGCTGCTATCAGCAGTGGAAGTGTGATGGCTTCACATCAGGGGGGGCAGATTTGTTTCAAAACTATTCCCACAAATGCACCCGTGACTTTGTTCATTTGTTTTTCGAAAGGAGATTGCTCATTGTACTTTAGGTATTGGGAGAGAGCCACGAGTGGATCGCTCAAACAGATGCATTGCGAGTGCGGGCACGTTTGGAAATGGACGGGTTGAAAGTAAAAGTCTGCCACTTTACGAATAATGACTCAAATTAAAAAGAAAAAAAGAAACAACTTTTTTATGGACTACAGTGTGTGACTTTCCACTTTTGTTTTTCTGCCTGACCAGATTAGTCAGATTACTGGGCCAAAGGAACAGCTGCCAGACTCCGAGGACATGCGGAAGGGATGCCAACCTGCATTTGGACACGCGTGAGTACTGAGCTGTGTGGTGTGCTTGAAGGGCTGATGTCTGATGTCACGTTGCACCACAAGGTGGAGGTGAGTGCGCCCGCCCGCGTGT